CGGGGGAAACCAGTCGCGGGGCGAGGGTTTCCCCCTGCGCCGCCGTGGAGGAGGACCCCGGCGGGCAATGGCGGGGACGACAGGGCCAGGCCGGGGAGGGCAGGGGACCGGGGCGCGGGGGTGCGGGGGCGCCGAACGACACGATGAACGGGCGGAAAGGGGACCTCCGGTAAACCACTGCCGCGAGCTTGGAGGAGGGCGTTGCCGGTGCGTCGGCCGGGGCAGGGGAGGGGACAGCGGGGGGCGGCGACGGGGCGGACGATCTCCAGGAGGTGCGCGCGGGGCCGCGGTCGGCCCGGCCGGCGACACCCCACCCTCCAGAGCGGCGGCCACGAGGGCGCGCGCCGGGGCTCAAGGTAGAGCCTTTCGGCATCGCCGCCCGGGAAGAACCCGCCGGCAGGCGCCGGCGCCGGCCATCCCCGCAGGCAGCGGGACTCCCACCCCTGAGAGTCGAGCCACCGGCAGGAACGGCCAGAGGCGGCCGGGCTGGAGCCTTGGGGGGACACGGTCACGGCAGACGACCAGGCGGCCCGCAGCGAGGTCGTCGGCCTCCGCGACGTCAGCGCATATGACGCGCGTCGAGTCGGCGGGAGAGGAGGGCGGCGGAGCGGCCGGGGAGGGCGTTGGCGGGCAGCCGGAGGCCGAGGGAGGGGAGGCCGGCACAGCCTGCGGCGGCGGCGGCGGCGAGTCGCCCAACGGGTCGCCCGAGCGCTGGGACTCCATCCCTCCGTCCTCCTAAGTTCCTCCACCAGTCTTCTTCCCTCCTCCGCCTCCGCCCGGCTGCCCACCTCGCCGAAAGAACCACTCGCGCTGAAATGTCCTTGACGCCATAAGCAATTCTTTCAAAAGAAGTTCCATGAAAGGTCGTCTGTGACTGTAATAATGGCTCGTATATTTGAAAGCATCTACAAAGCAGATACACTTTGGAAGATTAAGTGAACTTTGTGATAGCAGAAATAATGGGAGTACCTGCGGGAGTGTAGAAACTTGCGTAAGGAAAAACATATAGGTAGGGCACGTTGGCCGACGCCTCCTGAATCTGCATGCACTTGAGATGGATCATGTAGATGCTACAATACACAGCAATGAAGGTAACATCAGCATCTTCAGCATAGCCAATCAGCTTCATTAGAACCATACGTGCCGCCGCTACTACTTCTGTTGCAAGAAGTCTCTCCAGATCAATGATCCTATGATGTGTCCATGATGCCACCCCATCAGTGCTAGTTACCCTTGACCACAGATGGAGCTTGAATTCATCAAGTCCGGCAAGACCAAAAAGTCCATCTTTTGTTTGCATGATGATAGTCTCCTCGTAACTAAATGGCACATCCTCAATTTGCTCCAACCTATGGTTATCCAAATCAAACACAATAACGCTACTGTGACTCAAACAAGTAGAGGTTGTTTCCAACCAGAGCTGGCGGCCAGAACTGAACTAATGAATATGGTACAACATGAGTCGAAGTGATCTCGCCCCATACGCCGGTCTCGGACGAGTACACACAGGCGGAGATGGAATCTGGCTGGTTACTGAACACAAACGCAACGAGGAACGGGCGATCACCGTGGGTTGGTGCACGGAGAACCATGCCATTGTAGTGCCAATGCCGGTCAGCCTCATAGGCCGGTGGGAGCGGAAGGTAGCGCTTGTCGCCGGTCACGAGGTTCAAGACAAGGAGCGTTTTGAATTTCTCGCAGTCAAAAAGGAGGGCGCGGCCATGGCGGCAGTCGAGGGTCCACCAGTGGTTGTGGGACATGGTGGCAGTGGGGAGCGTGAAACCGTCAGAGACGGGGACAAACCGTTGAGGCCATGGCTGGTTGTGGAAGAACCAAGGACCGGTGGCGTCTTGCCGTGGAACTCACGGAAGCGGCGGAGGAAGCCCGCGTCGTGGACGAGACCGCGCTAGTGCTTGGAGACAAAGAAGGCGTGGAAGAGGTAGATGGGCTCCGGCGGGAGGCGGAGGAGGATCTCCAGGAGGAGGTCGTCCGGGAGTAGCAGTGCAGCGGCGGCCGCCGGCGAGATCGTCCCTGCTTCCATGGGTTCGGTTGCTGGGGCAAAAAAGATGTGTCGAGGGTTTTGCACGAAACAATAGCTATGTGTATATTCCAGGCCAGCGTATGAATCGGTATTGAACTCAAATATGCTTGACGTGGCAAAGCCCATCTGTGTTAATCGTGTTCGCTGGCGTTGACGAGGGCGTCCGCAAACGCCTTGAGCTGACGGAGTACTACTCGCCACGAGCAAATCACATTGAACCACGTTGCCGAGGAACAAGGAGTTGAGCTGCAGCTGCTTGAGGTGTTGGACGTATTTCTGAAGCTGAATGCACCTTAGTCTTAGACATGAACCCAAACGCTCAAAGTCCGACTAAAAGCCTGACTTCACATGGTTCTATCATCATAGACAAAATGGCTGAGATACACCGCGTGGCGTCTGTCGCGATTTTATGCAAATGAAAAACACAAAGTTCCTTTGTACCTCAGGCTACATGGAATCTCTTATCCTCAACCCTCCAGCCTTGCTTTGAGATCCGTACTCTCTAACTAACTAACAACAAGAAGATTTCTCTTTTTTGTTTCTCGAAAATGAAACAACATATGAACTTCAAACTTTGCAGATCGAACAAACATTAGAACATCAATGCATGAAAAAACTTTCAGATTTTTTGGTCTGATATAAATATACAAAATGAGATTTTCTTTGAATAAAAATATTATTTCAAGTATTTAAAATGCATGAAAAAATCTGGAAGTTTTTTCCTAGATTGTAGTTAGAATGTACTGTTGTTCTGCAAAATTTGAAGTTTATATGTTATGTCGTTTGAGAGAAACAAAAAAAACAAATGTGTCTGCACGGATCTTGATGCATAAATGGATGACAAAGATAAGGGGTACCATGTAGCCTGAGCTACAGAAAACCATACTCGAATGAAAATCATATACATTCATCTGAAGCTAGAATCCAAATTTGCAGGAAAGAAATTGCATATCTACTTCCCAGGTACGTATATAGCAGCAGCCATACTGCCATGCCATCAAATTCACAGGGTTCAACTTTGCGCATAGCGGAGCCGATTTTGCCTACTCGCGATCATGAGGGGGAAAACTACAGAGAAAATGATATCTGCAAGTTCAAAGAGAACTAGCTAGCACAACAGTTTTGACCAGTTAAATTTGTTCTCTCGTCTCTTTGCACATCTCAACCGGAAGAGAACATGTAAAGCACTATGCTACCAAGATTACCAGTCATGGGCAACATTTGATTTCTAGTAATACTTTTGGCTCAGTACTCAATATGATTAGTAGCAAGTTGAGATTTATTGAACCCACAACAGGAGCATGAGTTCATATCTGAAGATTGAATTGAAAACTTCCAGTCAATGTGTTTTCTCAAATGCAGATTCCAGCTCGTGACTGATGTAACTATGCAGCAAAGGGATATCGAAGAAATGGTATAAAATTGTTTGACATGATAAACTGCATCATGGTAGCACATCAGCATAAAGAACTATGAAGTGTGAAGATCCAGGATAAGTGTTTCACAGCTCCAAGAGAATTGTTGAAAAAGGTCAAACTATGCCATATACGGTCACATATAAGGGCTACAGAAACAGAACTAGATCACATTATTCAAAATTCTAGCTATATTGTGCATAGCAGTGCAGAAAATATCAATCCATTTCTTGCAAGAAAAATAATAGACACATAGTAACAGAGGATGTCATATCACCTCTTCAACCAACAAAGCGTGTCCGCAGATGTAACAGTACAATCATCTTAACTGTTGTTCAACAGTTCAGCTTGACCATTTCCAGCACCAATGGCAATTCCTATGAGAAGAGAATAAGTCAATAACTAGTGAAAAATGTGGACAAGAAAACAGCTGATGAAAGGTCGCAACACTTAAATGGAGCGATCGTTAGATATCTCACCTTGCAGAAAATACTAGCTATTGCTAGAAGGAACAATTATGAAATGACATGTATTGCAAGATTTCAATAATTCATCAAGACATTGTAAACTATCTACCCAAATGGAAGGATACGATATTCAGTAATTTACTTGACCAGGAAGCATTTTTAGAAGTGTTTTGGTGTGAGCCCATTCGTTGTCATAAGTCCAGGAAAAAAACAGTGCGTTAATTCCTATTTAAGTATTGTATGCACATGAGACAGAAGGAATACCAGAATGAACACCTTTTCCTACACCTCAGAACAAAGGATGCGGCCAGAGAAATAAGAAACTAAGTAACAACCCTAAATCCCAGGCTGCCAACATGACACGAAGCTTAAGCAATTGAGAATGCAACATCCATAGTCAAGAGATTAGAGTTCAGTTGCTTAAACTGAAAGAGAAAATTGTTCAGCATTGACTCACTGATTGGTTGTTATATACTCCCTTTGTAAGATCATCTCCAACAGGAGCACAAAAGTTTCGCGCCCTAAAATAGTTTTAGCACGCCACTGTAGCACTTTTAGCGGGTCGGACCCAACATTGGTTTACCAGATGCCCCCGTCCATGGTGTCCCGAGGTTGCGGACGACAAACGCCCGGTGCCCCATGATGATCAAAAGCTGCAATCGGCAGGAGAAAAGTTGCAACCAACATGGCCGTTAATATGACCGACAGAGGCAAGGAGCTGCATTGATGGTTCGAGGGCTGCGACGACGACAACGAGGAACTACGGTGACGGGCATGAAACTACAATTGACAGCGAGAACGGTAACCATGGAGGTGGCCGGGGGCGGCGGAACGGTAACCGTGCTCTGCCTTGGGGCGAACAGGAGTGCACGTACACGAATCGGAGTGCAAGCCTGTTGGTGAAGAAAGAGATCAATTGGCTACGCGCGTTATAATCGAACGACAGGGTGGTGACCTGCCGAAATTTCGGCCGGTCGGGCGGCGCCTAGCACGGCCCAAACACACACACACACACACACACACACACACAAGAGGAGACCTGCAATCAATATCAATCAGTTGGCCGGATGCCTTCTCCATCCTTCATGGCGCTCCTATACGAGGTCCTACGGCTGGTTGTAATGGGGAGTATCATTTATTAGTATCATGCATATGATACTAGTTTATGATACTACTCCCTCCTTTCCGGTTTATAGGGCGTATCTCAAAATTTTAGTTTTTCCATTTTATAAGGCTCAATTTGGTTGTTCCCCATCACATGTTCAGACTTCAAGGTGCATTAAATCATTGCATGCAAGTATTAAGAGAAAACTGACCAATGCATGAACTTTATGCATGCATGCATTGCAATTAATGCATTCGTAAACATAATTTTTTGAGGAAAATAAGAGCATTAATTGGGTGCTTTTGCAAACTACAAAAAATATTTCACCACTCATCATCTACCTTGGTTGGTGAGATTTTTGAATTGAGCCTTATAAACCGGAAAGGAGGGAGTACATCTTTAATGCATATTATCATATGTTGGTATCATAAAGTACTACATTTATTGCTATGCATGACACAAAGTAGCACATCATTTAATATGACACGGTATCATGGTAAGATACTGAAGCCTCTCTTTCTTCATTTAATTCTATGCCACTTCATCAAAATTGCTTAGTTGGCATGCATGATACTACCTATGATAACTCCCATTACGGGCAGCCTACGAGCCATCAACTTGTCCATCAGACTGCCCACGTCATTGTACGAAGATCCACCGTTCTCCACCGCGCACCTTGACTTCATGCCGAGGTCCTTGGCCTTCTCTCGTACCGCGTCGCCCTCCTCGCTGTTGCCCATCAATCTAACAATGGATTCGGCGATCGCCTCCCCCAGCACCTCCCCAGAAGACGCGTAGTCCTTGCCACCGGTGATGCTGACACCCACTCCAAGCACCTCCACTACGAGCTGCTCGTTGTGGAGCTGATCTGCATACCGCGGCCACGTGACCATCGGCACACCGGCGCTCACGGCCTCGAGCGTCGAGTTCCAGCCACAGTGCGTCAAGAACCCACCGACGGCAGAGTGGTCTAGGATGAGCAACTGCGGCGCCCAACCTCTGATGATGAACCCTCGGCGGCCGCGCGCCATCAGGTCGGCGAAGCCTTCAGGCATCCACTCTGAAGTGTCTAGGGCTTGGCCTGCGGCGCCGATCACCCACACGAAATCCACGCCTGAGAGCGCGAGGCCGCGGGCGAGCTGGTGCATCTCCGCCGGCGAGGAAGTGGTCAGCGTGCCGAAGGAGACGTACACCACCGAGCCGGCGGGCTTCGTGTCCAGCCACCGTAGGCAGCTGTTCGCGTCCGGCGAGAGCGCGTCCGTGCCCCTCCCAGCCATGTCCTTGCTTGCGAGCGCGACCGGCCCGACGAGCCATGCTCGGCGGCCGAGCGTCCTGTGGTAGTGCTCGACGTAGTCCGGCTCCAGCTCGTGGAAGCTATTGAACACCTCGCCGAAGCTCCGCTGGTCCGCGGCGTTGATGCTCTGGAACAGCGCCCAGTGGTCAGGCCGCTTCGCGGGGTCGATCATCATTTGACTCCGCCTCAGCTGGACGCGGTGCGGCAGCCCCGGTAGCAGAACGAGAGCATCGGGGTCGTCGGGGACGGTCTCCAGCGGGTTGTTGCGCAGCATGCTTTCGGTGCAGGACCGCGCCAGCATGCTGGTGCCGAGGAACGCGAGGCGCGGGACGCCGTGCTCCGCGGCGGCGTCCGCGGACCAGTGCCAAAAGCTGTCGGACACCACGGCGTCGGGGCGGTTGTCGGCCAAGAACCGCTCGAAGGGCTCGCGGAGCAGCTGCGCCGCTTCGAAGAACCTTTCGCGGTCGACGTCGGACGTAAGGGCCATGCCGTTCTCGACGCCCGGCGGGAGGCCCCCGATGTCAGGGAAAGGAACGATGGATATGTTAATCGCCGGGTAGTCGGCGCCACGGAATGCGTCGTTGGCACGGTCGACGGTGGAGCGGATGATGGCAGCGTTGACGGGCGTGGTGAGGACGGTGCACCTGATGCCGCGGGCGGCGAAGAGCGCGGCCATGTCGGCGATCGGTATGAGGTGGCCGGGGGCGAGGAACGGAAAGAAGAGGATGTGCAGCGGTGGCTGCTGCTCGCCTTTGACGACAGCCATGGCTGGCTAGCTGCGTGTCTGCTCGCCGGCACGGAGCAGGAGCAATCTGTGTATTTAAAAAGGGCAAGTTGTTTGTGACTTTGCTGATCTCCTTCCTCGAGAGTCCACTTTGCTCTAGTTAAAAAGAGGCTCGATTATGACTTTTTCGATGCCTTCTGATGCAAGAGTTTGAACACTCGTCCCACTCTCACTTTTTTGCGCGTGATCTAGTTAAAAATTGAAAATAAATTCCGCTACTCTTCGTAAGCCATGGACTTTGCTCAATCAACCACTCCCTCCGTCACTTATATTAGGGCATGTATAATGGTTTTATCTTAGCAATACCACGTAAGATAAATGATGAGGTGGAGAAGAGAAAAATCATAAGAAAAATTTTGTCTTCTTTTATTAAAAGAAGGCAAGAGATGATCTCTTAGCACAATATGTCTCACCACGTTTTTAGGAATAGCTAATTATTAAAAATAAGGCTAAGAGATGACCCATTGTAGACATCTTATTTTTTGTCATCTCTAAATTACATGCAAGATTTAAGATAAAATTATCTTGTTAACCATTGTATATGTCCTTGGACGGAGTGAGTATTGTCTCGTTCCTGATCTTTATGCAATTATTAAGTATATTTAGAAAATAAGCTGTAGAACAATGCATGGTTTGACTAAGTAAATTAGTGCAAAGGTCACTGTCTGGTTCCACAACACCTTCGCCAACAGATACGTCCCGAGTTAGAAAACACTATCCAGTTTGTCATCTAGACAGGTCATGCCCTAAGAGCATCTCCAACACGCGCGTGGTAGCACGGCGCGTTAAAAAAGTTTTACAGCGCTGAAATAGTGTTTTTGCGCGCGAGAGGTTTACCAGACGCACAAAAATGCGTCGCCCAACCCCACGGCCCCACATACAGCAGCCTGTGCGCATAAGCCGGCGCCTCAAATCTCTAGCCCCTCAGCCCGCATGCGCTAAACTTACAGCTTCGTTTTTGTGCGTGCTTTATTTTACAGCTTCCGCTGGAGCGCTTGCGTGCATGCTATATAGGCATCTTTTTTAGCGTGCGGCTTATGTATCTCGTTTGTTGGAGGTGCTCTAAGGAGCAGTTGGAGTGACCCCGCGTCCCCCACGTCGCCCTCCTCTTGGCGACACGGGGAAACCCTAGCTGCCACAGCTGGGAAGGCCCTCCTCCGCCTGCTACCGCTACTCCTGGCTGGCCGGCGAAGCCGCGCCGCGCCCCAGGATGGTGGCGGAAGGGCGGATCTGTCCCTCATGCGCCGCATCTCCCTCATGCCAGGATGCTCCAAGTACAAAACCGCATCTCATGAAGAACTGGTGAATGGAAATCAGGACAAGAGCTACTTGTATGCAAAGCTTGACTAGGACTGATAGCAGAGTCTCAATTAGCTTCACGTTGCTGAGGTTGAAATCGAGGGCAACTAGGACTGATAATTTCGTACTCACCATAACAACCTCCTCAAGGGTAATTATTTCAGTGAGCTACTTGTATCACCTCCCATGTGCCTTTTTATCAAATAAGTGTGGTTTTCACTTTCAGTGAGATTTTGATGAAATACACTAAATTTCATTAATTTCAGCAGTCACTGAAATAGTTACCTTTCGGCCAAACTATTTCAGAAATTTCAGTAGTACACATGAATTCAAATAATTATCAAAAATGATTTTAAAACATTCAAATGTTTAGATGACTTCAGGTGAGTATTTCAGCCTTTTTGTAATCACTGAATTTCGGTGATCTCGGTTGTTGCTGGAATTTTTCTGAAACTGAAATTCAAAACCTGCTAGTAATGTCCTAGTCAAATAAGGCTAGATGGGAAAACTCATTTCTGAATTGCACCATAGTACAGGAGTAAGGCCGCAAGCTCTTGTATTTCTGAGGAGTTCTCTGCTCACATATGTGAACAGGACCAACACGAATTTTATTAGATTGCACCATATCCGATGTTGGGTACGTTGTACCAGAATCAACTTCAAAGTAGTCACCCAAGGCCCCAACTGATGATAAGCCTTGGTTGATATAAAATGTTGGACACTCCCAAGTTTCTGAAGCTTCAGTACTGGGCATCTGTAGTTTCATATTTCTGAAAGTGGTAGCCATTCCTATGCCTTCCCGTTGCTGCACCATATAGCAGGAATGAGATTGCGGGGCCTTGTAATTTTCTTGTTCTGCATGTATTAACTCAGGACTCTTCTTTTCATGTTCATCCCTATCTGGTACTTGATCCGGCCCGGTGTTGTGAACCTTGCAGATAACTGAAGGGCTCCTCCATCGGAATCAATTCACAACAGCAAATAGGTTGAACCACCAAACACGTCAAAAAGTCACAGCGATGACCACATTTCAGAACTGCAATTTCTAGTAAAAAGGCCACTGCCTTGAAATTTCCCTAGGCTCAAAAACGACCAATGCACTGTCCTGCTCCTGATCGGCAGTCTCGATCCTTTGCAATATTTCAGGCCAGAGTACTACATACAGTAGCAGGCTCATGTACTTTATGCTCATAAAATTTCCATTGCTCCTGGCTTTTTCTTTCAAAAGGGGGAACTCCCCGGCCTCTGCATCAGAAAGATGCATACAGCCACCTCAATAAATAACAATAGGTTCAACAAAGTCGTTAAGTCTTCAACAACATAAAGGCGAGCTCACCAAGAGCATCGCAGCTAAACCAAGATAAACCACAATGGCCACAACCGGCTGGTAAAAGAAAAGATAGGAGCACTAATAGCCTATCCTATTACATGACCGCCAACCAAACCAGTTGAAGATATCCCGCGCTATCATCTCCCACCGGACAGATCCAGTAACCAAACGCTCCCTGGCCTCCGTCGGAGTGAGTAAGGACCACATACGGATCAGCGCCGTAGCACGGAATAAAACCAGTAGTGACCTCGACGTCACGAAGCTTGGCCGCCCTCATGGCGCACCGCTGCTAAATATCGTCCATGTCAGGCTGGCTTTGGAGTCGTCCACTCATCCGGCGCCCCTCAGACACCGGATCCTGAATCCCTCCAAAAGCGATAACCTCCTCCCGAGAGATCGCGGCCGGGGTCCGGCCTCCTACCGCTCCCCAACCAGCAGGCCGATCCACCAGTACGGACTCACCCGAGATAGGCAAAGCACTCACAGTCGACGCGTGGCGCGGCCCATCTGGCGATACTCGGGGCTGGGTGGGTGGAGACCGACCAAGGGCCACCTGCCCTCGCTCCCCACCCAGCATCGAAGAAGTTACCCGCACAGGCACCGGAGAAGAAGGAGGCTCCGAGGCCACCTGCCCCGAGCCGCCTCCCGCAGGCGAAGCCGGCATCAACTGACCGGCAGACGCGATGGGGGGAGAGATATCCGAGGCCACCTGCCCCAGACCCCCTCCCGGCGAGGAGGAAAACTCGGAAGCCACCTGCCCCAAGTCGCCTTCCTCAACAGAAGGAGAGAAAACCGAGGCCGCCTGCCCCAGGTCACTCCCCGACAGAACAGGTACAACAAGCTGCGGCACCTCCAGATAAGGTGTCGTCAGCTGGGCACGAAGGGGAGTGGCCACAGGCCGATCCCCAGGAATCGTGTCCACATCATCCTCCAAACCCAAAGCCGGTAACTCGCGCTCAAACGCCTCCTCGGACTCAACTCGATCACTCCAGAGCCTCGGTGGTGCAGAGTGAGGCTCAAAAGACCCAAATCTCATAGTCGTCGAAGGGACCACAGAAGGTGAGACTGCTCCATCCCCGGTCGACGCCGGCTCGGGCCCCGGCCCCTTGGACAACTGTCGTCCAGGGTCCTCGATCGGCGACTCCCGAACTCCTGCTCCGCCATCACTCTCATGCATATCGATATCAGAATCATGAGCCGGCGCACCCAGAAGGCTCTCATCCTCAAACTCAATAGCCAAATCATAGACTCTGCCTCGATAAGCCCACTTAACCACATCCGGAACATACTCAATGTTCAAAATACTAACCAAGACCCGAGCAATCCCATGAGCTCGGGTAAACTCCATGTCCACACGCTCAGGCTTCCCTACCAAAATGCCCATACTAGCCGCCACCCGAGCATCCTGCAGCGGCCTAGAAGGAGCCCCGGAGAAACGCAACCACGCCTGAGTAAGCGGCGTGCCCTGGGGCTCCAGAAGCTTCCACTCCTAAAACTCAAGGATACCATCCGTTCCCGGCACCTTACACATCCCAAAGCTCAACAGCCTCTGCAAATCCTCAACAGAAGGAAACTCAACCCTGAACATCCTATCAGCCATACTGACAAGGTCCCACTGGAACTCCCCAGGAGCCAACTCCCGGAGTCTCTACACGATCTGTGTCTCAGCCACCTCTCCTCTGGTAACCTTGACTATCCCCGTGGTCATACTCGTGGACTCGTCAGCAGCCTCTCGCTCATTTGGAGATTCAAAAAAAGTTAACTCAGCACAGTATACTCCATACATCATGAGCGACGGTGCCTGATCACGCAGCATCGGACACTCCCCAGACTCGTGTGCCAGCTTACCACAGGTATCACATAACATAGCCACACACTCCGCAATGAAGTGACCCTTGTCACCGCACCGGTAGCAAAGCATCTTTTCCTTCCTACGCGCCCACTTGGAAGCCCTCTCAGCCTCAGACCTATCAGATAACTCCGCAGAAATATCGGTCATAACCTCGTTCTCAGGAACCTGCACAGAGGCAAGAGCCGTCACGACCTCCATAGCGTGGCCAGGCAAGAGAGGGCCCTCGGCAGACTTGTCAGCTGTCGTCTGGTTGACCACAACTGGAGGTGGCGGAGGACGTGGACGGTAATGGCCCCCTCTGCCTCCTCGACCACCCTGATAGCCACGAAACCCTTGTCGCTGGCGATGTCCCGGATCCGAGGGCCCCTCGACGAAGCCTCCGGAAGGACCCAAGAAAGGCCTCTCGGCAGATCCATCACTCTGCCAGGCATAGCCACGGCCACCACCCGTTGATGAAGAACCACGGTGCTGGCTCGTCCCGTAAGCATCATATCCGTCATC